ACCACGTTATGATAGACCTTTTCGGACCCTCCTCGGTTCGTGGAGAAGTACAGAAAAGAACAAGTGGTAAAGCGTACGGAGTAATCTTCACAGATCTAGTTATGAGAGCAGTCCACATTGAAGCTGTGTTCGGGTACGATACCGAATCATTCCTAATGGCCCTCAGCAGATTCGTCAGTGTTCGTGGTTGGCCCGAAATCATATATAGTGATCCCGGATCACAACTAATTGGTGCGGAAAGAGAACTCACGGAAACCTGGAAGAGCATTGACCGACAATCCCTACATAAAAGTGGCACAGAGAATGGATTGACCTGGATCTTCGGCCCCGCTGATAGTCCTTGGTACCAAGGAGCTGTAGAATCCCTGGTGAAGAGTGCCAAGAGAGCTATTCATTTCGCAATCAATAACCAACGTCTTTCAGTCCAAGAGTTCATGACGGTGTGTAGCGAAGCCACGAACCTCCTCAATGAAAGACCTATCGGAACCCTCCCGAGCGCTGATTCCGAATTAAGCATCCTTACTCCCAACAGCTTGTTACTGGGCAGAGCAACGGCGAAGAATCCTGGTGGATGGCAGCCTAACGGTAATAATCCAGGAAAGCGTTATCATGTTGTCCAGATCGTGACAGACGAGTTCTGGAAGAAATGGACGGAGTTATACGCCCCAGCCTTGGTTATTCGTCGCAAGTGGAATACAGCCAACCGTAACCTGCGCCCAGGAGATGTTGTAATAATCGCCGACCGTAATACCTTGCGAGGAGATTACCGTTTAGGTATAGTACAAGAAGTGTTTCCCAGTCAAGACGGAAAAGTTCGTCGAGTAAATGTGATGTACAAGAATTTTCAAATTCGAGAAAAGGTACAAAAATACAAAGGACATAACGAGGCTGTCATTGTGTCACGAAGTGCTCAGCGATTATCGTTATTAGTACCAGTGGATATGGATCAAGACCAGGAAACCAAGTCGGAAGCAAAAGACAGTGTATGAACGGACAGTGACATTATATAGTATTGAGTGAACAATGCATTAGAGAAATTTACATTCAGATTTTAAGACGCGATCGCATCGACCCCAGTCCTTCCGGTGTATTGGGTTGTAGTAAAGTTGTAGACAATAATCTCTGCGATCGCCTTTTGAACGATGTTTTTTACGTTTTGTTAGAGCATGCGCATGAGAGCTAATATGGCGTGCGAAGGAAAACAGTGTTTTACCACTAATTACTATTTTGTAATTTTCCGTATATTTTATAATTAAAGTGAGTTGAAACCTGTTTTTCGCCTCATTTACTGGCAATCCCAGTACAGTGTGTTGCCATGACAACCACATGACCTGCCAAAAATATTCATACGGGTGCACCTACTAAGTGTACCAAGTTTCATTGAATTTTATTAAACGGTCACCAAGATATCAGACTTTCTTGTTATTGCCATTATCTCAAGTCACACTAATGACGTCACAACTCAAAATATAGAAAGTGCGATAACTTGGGAGAGAGATGAGATATGAAGAAACTGTAAACGTCATTCTTCATCATTCCAGCAGTACTTTTTAGAAAAATAATAAAAAATAAGGTAAAAATTTCGTTGCATAGGCACTTTAACACTTTGCGAAAATTGCGCTGAAATGTACGAGAACTATGAAATTATTACAAATCTGCACTTGATCTGCACTAGGATTGCTGTGCTCTTTTCTGTACTTCAATTATTTCTTCACCCCAAATCCAAAGAACTTTGCTAAACCAGTTATAAGGTCGGTGGTTTAACCGCTTTAACGGAGTTATTTACGAGATTCGTTTATTTGGATACGCCATCTTCTTACGTCATCATACGACTATTGGGGGGCAAATTCAAGTCCCGGATGTGTATTCGTGTTCCCATTGGTGACGAGTTTCAAAATCAGCCAATGAGAGCACGATTTTATATCCGGGACTTGAATTTGCCCCCCATTAGCTGCGTTCCCAATTTTTAAACTCGATGCCTCCTCTAGCGTTATTTATAATCTCTATGGTACTGACGCCCTACAAATCTCGTAGCCGTCACTAAATTGACAAGGGATTTTTTAAGTCTCGTAGTAAAACGATAATCTACTGCGAGATTATGGCGTGCGTACGTAATGGCGTAAGAAGATGGCGAGAATGTCCAAACAACGAATCTCGTAGTCACAAAATAGAGGCCATACAGAAGTGCGACTTTTTGTCGGCGCCCATGTTCCTAGGCATTCACCCCCTTAAAATGTTTAAAACGTTCATTGGGGGTCTCGTAAGCGCACTGGCTAGGAACATGGCGAGGCATGCATTTTGATGACGAATCATGGCGTGGCAGCGGTTACTTTTTTGGGGGAGACCACTGATGGACGGACTTTAATCTGTATCGCGTCTATTCTGTGTCATAGTCGTACTCGTATCGGTAGTAAAATCTAAAACTTTAATTTCTCTTCACTTTGCAAAGCAAACAACCACTGGTGAAGCGTACACATAGTATACAATCCATAGACTAAATGCATGGTTGACTGTTTACCCAGCGAAAAGATTAAGATAATGCGTGAGTGAATGATCGGCAAATATTAACATACTTTGACGGTTGGTTACTGGCAATTATCTTCACTCCATTGAACACATTTTGCATTTGAATACAGTAAAACCCCGCACATGAACTTAGATTTTCCAAGTTAGCCTAAACAGGTTCTTATGTAAATGTTGCTTCCCAGGAAATTAGGCTAAACAGGTTCTTAAATAGGTTCTTATTTTCTTTTAGGTGGTATATAATTTATATAAATGTGCGCAAATGATCTAAAAATGACAGTATATGCACTGTGCCAACTCTATATGCACTTTAAAGCTACAGTGATTGTAACTTATGACTTAATTTTGACTCTATTTGATAATATAAGAATCTAAAGTTTGTTCGTTCACTGCAACCAGGTATATCAATCATGTTTCGCTCGCTACTCTGGTTTAAATAATTTGAAATTCTAGCCTGAACTGGTTCTTATTTAAACAGGTTCTTAAATTCTAGGTTCTTTAATATGCGGAGTTTTACTGTAGAAGAGGGAAATTCAATGAACTAACAATAAGTTCTTAATTAATTCAAATGTCAGTAGTTGGAGTGCATTAAGAAGAAGAACATGATATATTGTTTTAGTTCGATTTGATTAGTAGGTACAGAAGGTTCGAGCACATTTGGATAAATATCGTATTTTATTAATTGCGAAAATTACGATGAAATATACAAGAATTAAACTATGAATTGATTACAAATCACACAGTGTTTTAAAACTTGCTATCAAGTAGAACATTCTGCACTTGATATGCAACTATTATTGCCCCGATGCTTTTTCTGTGGTTGAATTTAAACAGGTATGCATTAGATATTGACTTTATGGAGCTCAATAACCTTGGTGCAATTGAGAGTACCGGTAAATATCAGGATTTTGCGCATCCAAACTCAATAGAACTCAGTGTGGATGGATTTCGAGCGTGAATTCTATATTGCACCGGAATCGCAAGTTCGACTCCTGTCAGAGGGCCCACAGTTGCATTGTTTGCTCCTGGTATAGGTCTAATAAATGTATAAAATTCCGACACTCGAAATTTCCATCTACAAATTACTGTCTGTTCATAGGTTAATGACGACTGTGATCTGGTTGTATTTCCAGCCAATCACGGGTTCACGAAATTTAGCCAATTACCAGTCTGACAAACTACCGATATAATTAAACACATAGCTGACTGCACTTGAAGAGGTTTGAGTGACTTTGGCTCCTTTTTGGAGTCATGAGACAATGGCCAACTTGCTAATCAATTTTGAATAATTATATCAGGACTCTACAGTCTACAGTATAGTGATCGACTAAACTCGGACCCTTTAAATGAGCGTACTTTAGTCAAAGAACTTGTAAACCAGTCATAAGGTCGGAGTTGAAGGAGTTTTGACTTTGCAAAGCGACAACGACCAGTGAAGCGTATACGTAATAAAATCGACTAAATGCATGGTTGGTTAGGATCACCCAGCAACTAGAATGCATGAGTGAATGTTCAGCAAATATTAACATAGTTCGATGCATTGTTACTGGCAATTATCTTTGCTCCAATGAACAATTTCGCATTTGAATAGAATATTGTTGAATTAAACTATGGACTTAAATCAAATCTACTCAGCAGTTGACATTGGACCGTTAATGCGTTAAGAACGCAAGAAGACATCTAGAATTTTAATTCGATTTGCAACTACACGAGAATGAAGTCGTTTAGCATTACCGTGTTGCTAGCCTCGGCTACTCTAATAATGGGTGGTCGTTTAGAATGGTTTGGGGGTAAGTAAAGTTCCTCAATTGTTTACGAAATTTGTGCAATAAAGTAATCATGCAAGACATTTTCGGAAGAAAACCTAGTAAACTCGAGCTATATCATAAACTTAAAACAGTTAATTAACAATTACTATGTTAGTAATAGTTGGTGCAACGGCAGTGGTTTGGTCAAGCTTGGCCATGCCTGCAGCCTTTTTATCAAATTTGGAGTGCAGTATACGTAGCGTTCAAATACCTCTGTGTGTGTTCTCAATTTGGATTATGTGATCAGGGCTTTTTTAGTGGAGGGGCCATCAAAGAAACCTTCACTTGGAGGTGGGGGTGGGGGTAACATAACTTAATGGAGGGGGGGGGGGCAAAATCTTCCAACTTGTATGTTAGAAAGGCCATATACGGGATCTTGGAAGCAGTAAAATTATAATGTAACAGTGGTACTACAATTTCGCGCAATGTAGTTAGTTATCATAACATGAACTGAGGTTGCAAACTAGATTAATATCGGCATTATGTTTTTCAATTAAATTGTTGTTTACGAAACTTAATGTATTACGTGTCAATATGGCATGCGTGCATGTAGACATAGACTGCACATGCATGCATGCATGCATGCATGTCGAAACACTTCGGAGAGTCGTTATTATTCAAATGAGAAAGGTGTAGCCTAATCAAATGCAAGTATCAAAATGCTGCGGCCTGACCCACTATTATCCTGTGCGTAGAAATGAATACAGACTAGTTTGAGAACAATAACGCAAACAGTTCTTTCGAGAATGCGCGCGCGGATGAACACGAATCTGCCAAGTCAATTAAATCCGAAAAATAGACTACTTTCTAACAGTTTGGAAAATCAGTTACTGTATTTAGAAATTTACCTATAGGTTTGAACCTTAATAATATTGTGAAACAACATGCAGTCATGAGATTGTACTCATGATGACATGGATCTTGAAAAATTGCTTATTCAGTAGTCTTGTAATGTATATTAAGATATATAATAATGCAAAATTGTGGTCGCTCACGTTTTCGACTCGTTCCATAATATATATAGGACCTTCCGACTTGGGCTACATAGTATGTTATTCTTTACCAAGTTTAGACTGTCATGGATAATTTCACTATTTCAGTTTCAGAGTTTGAAGATGCTGGCTGTGTAGATAAGTACCCCACAAAAGAATGTAAAGAGCATGCCGCAATAGAAGGATATTGCGACGATCATAAGGAATTCATGGAGACACGTTGCGCAAAATCCTGCGGATTCTGTCAGCGTAAGTAATTTTAAGTGTTTGTAATAAGCTCTCGCAACTTATCCAGCAACTGAAATACTGTTCTTGCAATAGCATAGCATAACAACTCTAGTTGTTTACGCCTCAAGTAAGTTGATAATATATTTGCAAGAATATCTCGCACGCTCGGAAATTTGAACTTGTGCTCGACCTATTTGATTTGATATCTCAATGCGCGCGACATCCCCTATAGAGTTAACTTCATAACACAAAATGCTTTTGAAATGCGTGAATTCATTTTCGTATGACACTTTTGTGAATGTTGCAGTGTGTGCTGGGAGAGTTATTAGCAATGCAATACAACACATAACTATACTTAAAATAAAATGTCAATTTTAGTCTAACAACATTAAACAGACGGCCCGGGGGGGGGTTATGTTAAAATCTCAGCCTATCCGGTCCACATATTTTGTCACGGATTGTAGTTAATCAAGTTTCTATTCTGCTTTACAAAGCGCAAGTTCCTCTGGGTCCAGGAATCGAATGTAAAGATAAGATAGAGGGATGTGCAGAACATGCCGCCATTGAAGATTATTGCAAATACAATGAAGAGTTTATGATCAAATATTGCAGAAAGACATGTGGTTTATGTCGTCGTAAGTATATACGCTTTTTTGGGGTTCTCGCGACACCATCTTTCTAAGTGGTAATTCCCATTAGGACGGCTTGCTATTAGCCCAACAAAGGCGTATTTTTCCGCAGTTTTTGCGCAAGTGGACCCAAAAACCTGTGCCATTGCTTGGGATATTTGGACAAGATATAGGTTCCTATATTCTTTCCAAAGCTCTAAAGCTATATTTACACTACGGACTGACAGTTTTACTGATTTACCGAGATTTACCTGTACGTTTTAAACATTGTTGGGACACATGCGGTTTTAGATTGTCAGTAGATATATCATATATGACAAACATATATATCTTCCTACTCCTCCCTATCCCCATTCAATTTTGTTTTCCCATTTGCACACCAAAGTAAGATACTAACTGAGACCTATTAATTTATAATAGAACCAAACGCGCCCGGCAAAGAATTATTTTGGGAAACCACACCCTGGGGTGAGGTAAGTTACAGTATAGTTATATTTCTTCCTAACGACCGAGGTTGTTTATACTATATATAGGAATGAGTGTATGGCCAGGTTGGGACTCATATGCAGTATATAAGTTTGCAGTCCCTATATATAAAAGTGAGGAGAAATCATGCTTTATATAGCAAACACTTTTGCATATATATAATTGATCATCTTTTTAAAACGGTTCTTTAAAACATAAACAGTTTTAGACGTTTTCTAGTTTCCAGTATTCATGGCAGATAAAGTTTCGATGGTATCCCAGTTTACTTATTCCAAATTCATTAGGAGTTCCTGATTAATTTACTTTGCCTTAGATATCATAGGTATAAGCTGAAAAGAAATTAAACGAATAGTATATATAGGGGTTTGTGTCGAGCAAAATAATATTCGACAATTTCCAAAGTAGTTCTTCGTATATACCAAAGTAATTGCAAACGGTGTTAATATATCATGTTACACGAGAAATTGTTACTGCAACTTGCAACGCAGTTTCTGCCACGCATGTCATCTACAACGTGGTCGCAAGGAAATTGTGAGCATGACCCAAGCTTTATCCTTCCGGAATTTTTTTCCATTTCATTCAATGTTCATCCCTTAAGAGAATATTATGTAAAGAAAGTGTAGGCCGAGTAGAATGCAGACTATGATTATATATAGTTTTCTGCGACTATACGTTTTGGATAACATGGCTGTGTATCCGAAATTGCGTTATATAAGTTCAGCAAAACTTGCTATTAGGTTTATAATCTTTTCAACATTCCTATAGAAAATAACCTTGTCTTGTAAATGTATATCGAATAATTCCGTACGTTTCTTTCCTGATATCCTCGCCAGGTTTTGTAAGGTTTTTTAAAATTTGCGTAACTCGTAGTGTTTCGCTAGGAATGTAACGCAAGGCCTTGGTCTCCTGTTTAACGTACCAACCAGGGGCGGCGGAATAGGGGGTAACAGAAGTAAAAGTGGGGAGGGGGAGGAGATCATAGTAAGATAGTAATATCGCTGCCTAAAAGACAAAGATGAGCTTGATATGATGTGCTTGACCCGGATATGATTGTGGGATGATGTCGGCTGATCAATAGGTAAAAGACCCTGGCTTGCGAGGTTGGATTCAACTGACTTCAGTAGTGTTGGATAACTGACTTGGTATCACTGATCTATAATAGTGGGCGTTACGAACTTACGAGCGGACCTTGGATTCCATTCCTTTTTGGGCATTCAGAAATTTTATTTCAGCAAATGATTTGACTTTATATTTTATCACCCTTCCTGCATGCAGTACTGAAGACAACAAACAAGATTTGTGCAATTTGTAATGTTTAAAAATACCTATATATGTGTGATGGTAATTCATGCAAGTCAATCATTTTCTTTATTCCTATAGTGTAAGCAAGGTGTTCAAAGGCGAGGCGTGAAATGTATCCATGTTTATGAGGGAAAAGATTACCAGGTAGATCTAAAATATTGCAGAGATAATCTGACAGACGAAGCTGAACCTGCAGACAAAAGAGATTGTGTGGCATAAAGAAACCTCGACATGAGTATAGACATTGATACAAGGTATTTAAGTACGTAAAAAGATCAGTTAAAAAAACATATCTAACTTGCTGTCTTTAATATAACAGATCTTGTTAATGTGGCGTTATATTATCACTGCATAGTAATGATAAGAGTTATATAGTGAGTCATTTCCATGATTAATAATATGAAAGGTAAATTATATAGATCGCTATCATAGACACCCCAATGACTAGGCGTGTTTTACACTAACAAGTATATGTTTGTTAAAAATGCAAAACGACAGGAAGAAAGTGCCACGACAGGAAGAAAGATGAATTAAATACCAAAACTTGATCGAATAAATGATGATAGGTTGTACCAAAACTTTTTCGATCTACTCCACAGGTGGCACCCCCTGGCCGGAGTGAAAATTTTTGGGCATCCTTTCAGAAATTTATCTTCAGTTCAAATGGTCTAATTTCAGAAGAGATGCTCGGTATTATCCAGCCTACTAGGTTTTTTCCTTAACGGATTATACAGTGGTCAAACGGTAAAATGCATGGTATAATTATATTGAGGCTTATCCATGCTTTCTTTGTTTTATAGATAACAAGAAGCAACAATATAAACGTGTGATTTACTGGAATTCAAAAGTTGTGTCTCAATTCTGTTACATAACAGTATTCATTATATTTCATTATATTGAAATCTTGTGTTTCACTTCTACTATAGAAAGTACTATTGGTGTATAAGTGACTTGTGGTGTAGTAATTATGAGTAGGATTATTAACAATAAAATTGATTAAATTAATGTCTTATAATGACTCCTATTGAACAAAAAGGAAGAAAAATGAGAGGACAAAGATCCCCCTGGACGGTCGGAGTAGGATAACTTGGTATGAAATAAGTGTCAGACTTTTCGGTGTCTGAATTGCAAAATGAAAAAAATGATATAGTTTCTGCATGTGAAGTCGTCCCCAGAATTCAGGAAATGTCAACACAAACTCTATAAAGTTTCCAACTTTTCCGAGGAAGTATGCCACGCAATTTGTCGAGCCCCCTCCAAAATCAAACAAATCTTCCGCCCCCAATGGATTAAATGATCATCGTAGTATTTATTTATTTATAGGGATTTGCCACTCAATAAACAACTTAGGAAAATATACTGTGGCAGGGACCCTGGTTTCAGAGCCTCTAGAACAAGGGTGTGTGGGACTGGGAGGGTGACCGCAACAGCATAACGCCAATTACCATGTTACAAATTAATCCATCTTACATATTATACATAATTATAAATAACAAATCGCAAAGAAAGAAAGAAAGCAATGAAGGAAATTGGATGGATAGATGAAATGAAGGCAAGAAGGTAGCTAAACATAAAGCTTTAATAAATAAATCGTCATTAATTAAAGCCAACTTTGTAAAAGCCAACTTGACGACTCGTCAAGTTGGTTGTTGCGAATTTGGCTTTGCAATTCCGCGCTTAATATTCCGAGGACTTCCAAGTACGTTTAGAAACATAGTTGGAGATATTCACAACAAACTTTGGAATCGCACTTTGAAAAGTAACGTGAAGTCAACAATACCCTGGTCGTGTTGCAATTTAAGCAAATTGTTCGCCATTCTTTGGATCGTACACCTGCACAACAGCTGCATGGTACTATGATAATACAATAGGAGATCACCTTTGAACTTGCTCAAGGATTTGAACAGATTTTTAAATTTGGATTTTGACGGATTTTCCAAATCGTTCCAGAATTTTTCCGGATTTTTTCCCGTGGAATTTTAGAAGAAGTCTTTTCAAATCGATTTCTGCCATGTTTGCCTTGCTTGGATTTATTTTTTGAGCTGGAGTGAGCCTGTCAGTAGGCTACGTTATAGAGTTCGTTCAGCGATATTTCTTGATATTGGTACATTATTTTGCTAAATGGCTTAGAACAGAATTTATGGCTTATTCTCCAATTTACGCTTGAATTTTTATTGTGATAAAATGGCTTACTACAAATCTGTATACAACAATACACACAAATTTCTATATCAAATGAATTGAGAAAATATTTAAAGCTAGTAATAATATTAAATTAATTTATTTGAGATAATTAGAGTTAAATGAGGCTTCCAGGCTTGCACTAGAGAAAAAAGATCATGTTTTAGCCTTTTTAAATGAGAAAATGTTGATTCGTTTATATTTGGCACTTGGGCATTCGGGGCAAATTTTTCTAGAGTGTTGACCAAAATATAAAAACTTCATCATGGGATAATGGAACAAGAAGAAAGTTAGACTTGCTCCAAGTCTCTCTTTCATTGTCATAAGTATCGATCCACTATAGTGTACATTGTACACTATAGTGGATCGATACTATATGACAATGAAAGAGAGACTTGGAGCAAGTCTAGAAGAAATTAATGCGGACAAAGTTTTATAAAAATGCCTGAATACCACAATAACAATAAATAAAATGTTAACTTATACGTTAATTATCCAAATAAAAACAACGTTTGTATCACGTGACGTTGTGATTTTTACAGTATTCTACTAATTCAACCTCGTGTCCTGGGTCGTGTCCTGGGTCGTGTCCTGCAAGCTGCTCCATTTACTGTTCGGAGTACTCCAGATTTTCGGAACACTAATGGAATGGAACAGAAGAGAGTCACATGACTGTTCTGAACTGTTCTGACTACCCCGATTTTCGAGTAGGGGCAGCCAGAACAGACACGTGACACTGCCTATTTTCACGTGATTCGAAATGAGGCGACATATTTTGTGTATCCAAAGCACACTGTATAGAGCGTTATTTTGAGGGGTTAACCGCTATATTTCGACATATACTTATCATATGCTATTTGAACGCCACGGTTGGGCAAAATCAACAAGTAAAAACGTTGCAAAAGCATACGTAGATGTACAAATAACAGCGAATCATTATACGCTTTATTATGCGAATAATAATGAATATAATAATGCATGGTTGCACGCATATATAATAAACTAAACACTGTTCCAGAACACCGTGTGCCCACCATTTTATATCAGAGAGGTTAAGATACCCCGATTCCGGTTTACGGGTACGGGTGATATACACGTACTCGTACCCGTAAATCGGGGAATAACTTGTAACTTAAGAAATCCAAGATACTCCTGCGTGAGAAAACCGATCTGAGAATGGCAACTTTCGCTGTTGAGGTTCGCCATAAATTGTTGAAAACTTTGACCAGCATATGTACATTATTTGTTTGGGTAAGATGTTGAAAATTTGTACTATTTAAAACGGCCCAAAAATAGTAAACAGAAAACACCCGTACCCGTTTGTCGTTTACGTGTAGACCACGGTTTACCGCGGGGGAAACGGGTAGAAATTACGGGTAAAATTGCTGACATCAGCAAAAGTTGGAAAACAAAATGGCGATACTCGTACCCGTAAACCGGAACCGGGGTATCTTAACCTCTCTATCGTTCCAGAACAGTGTTCCAAATGTTCTAGAACAGTAAATGGAGCAGCCTGCAGGGCACGAGGTTGTATTATAGTATTATTTATTTAAAAAATTCATGGTTTCTGATTGGCTGAGGGCCATCATGAAAACTACTGGGTAACCAGTAATGGTGTTTTTACCCTCGGTAAATAAAGTATTTTGACTTTGACAGCCAACTGTGAAATTGTTATATTATCAACTCAATATTAGCTGACAAATATTGATTTTTGACATAATATAATTGATAAGCCCTCGTTACTTACAACTCTGCACAAATTAATGCATAGACTTTGCACGATTCCACTAAGATTTAACCTCCTACAGCCAGCTAAACAGGCATTTGTATTTGGGAATCTGTTAATCTAAAGACAAAACAATGTTGAGATGATCAGGAACGACTGAAACAAAGAAACAAGTTATGAATTTCATTGTTTATTAACAGCTGTTGTCGTCACGTTATGCTGTTCCAAAGAAATTATGGCATAGTACAAAACATGGACTAGACTGTTACGGACAGTTGGACTGGACTAGACTGATTTTTATATTTTTTCTATTGATTCTATAACGTTTTGCACGTCAAAGTCTTGATTCTCGGAAATTAAATATTTACCACCGCCGATGATCTCAATTTAAAATTGTCAATGAGTGAAATTTCTTAAAGCGAAAGAAAGCCTGGCTCACTGTTCTTTTTAGGAAGTGGAAAATACAATTCATTATAAGACCCGAAATATTAACAACCTGATCTCAATTCCCCTTGTTACTAATAAGAATCCCCCCAAATCCTATGATATCCCGACTATATTGTCCACTAATGTTAGATCATTACCAAAGAAAATTGACGAGCTCCAGCAAATTGCAGAGCTAAACTCTGCAAGTGTTATTTGCATTACTGAATCGTGGCTATCACCTGCATGACATTCCTGATCATTGCGTATCTATCCCTGGATTCAACTTATTTCGTAGGGATCGCATAGGATCTTCTGGTGGTGGGGTCTGTGTATATTTGGATCATAAAATACCTTGCAACCGTTTGGATTCATGTGACCAATCTGATGTAGAATCAATTTGGATTTCATTAAGACCACATAAACTCCCAAGAGAAATTACATCCATTATTCTAGGAGTAATATATCATTCAACATCCAATAAAGAACCTGAGAATGTTGTCCTTAGAGACCATGTGCAGAATAACCTTGACTCATTACTCTTTAAGGAACCTAACGCTCTTGTTTTACTTATACAGGTGACTTTAATCCCACGTCTACAGGTTTTAAAATAAAATATATCACACAGGTGAACCATCTTAAACAACTTATATCTTTTAAAACCAGAGATTCTGCCGTATTGGATTGGCTGTTAACAAATAGACCTAAGATGTTTGAAGTATCTAGATTGCCAAAGGTTGGTTTGTCTGACCACTATACGATCAAAGCAAAACCAAATATAGCAATATCATCTAAACAGACTATTACCAAAATTAGAATCCGGGACATGCGGAACTCTGCGTGGTGTGCCTTTTGACGATGGATAACCAAAAAAAACTGGTCATCGGTATTAAGTGCGAGTACGAGCAAAGATAAATTTGACCTCTTTATGTCAGAGCTTGACCAAGCAGTTAATACCTTTCTCCCACAGAAAATGATTAAAAAGCATCCGACAGATCGACCGTGGATTACTAATACGATAAAACTGTGGATTTCTAGACGCCAATGTGTATTCCAACAACAAGGAAAAAATTCTAAAGACTATAGTTTTTGGAGGAATAAGGTTCAACGTGCGATCCAGTCAGCAAAATCCAATTACTTTCATAGTAAGGTAGCAGATGTTGATAGAGTTAACCCTGTAAAGTGGTGGAAAGAGATTAAAAAACTATCAGGTCAAAATATCCGACAGGAATGGTATCATCAGTTCCTTGATAACAACATGGATATAGAATCCCTAGCTAATAAAGTGAACGACTTCTTTGTTAGTCTTACAGATCACTTCGCCCCTCTGAGCCAACCAACTCCACCTATGCAAATCCCGGAAGAATTCTTGGTTACGGAAAGTGAGGTGTTTAAAGCATTAGCATCACTGCAAATTAGTAAGGCGATTGGCCCTGATAATATCCCGAATAGAATCCTGAAAGAGTTTGCTCCTGAACTGGCTCCAGTCATTCGTAATATTTACAACCAGTCAATGAAAGAAGCGAATATCCCATCACCACTTAAGTCATCTATCGTAATTCCAGTTCCGAAGATATCACCTCCTCAAACAATTGAAAATGATCTCCGCCCAATCTCGCTTACTTCTTCAATGGCAAAAGTTATGGAAGGCTTTACTTGCACTAGACTATTAAAGAACTTGGAAGGAAAAATCGACCCTCGCCAATATTATTATTATTATTATTATTATTATTAATGGTTTAAGATACACACCTTCGCAATAGATTGAATTATGGTGCGTTTACAAAATTGGTACGCTATATATTTACATATATAAAAATTTAGTTGCATGCATCAAGTCTAAAAATCTTATTGAATTGCATTAAAATCATCGTAATTAAGTATCACGCTTAAGTTTCTTTACTATAACTATTATATAGAGCTACTGTACTGGGAAAAAGCTACGGCGATATCTTTTTGTTCGGCATTTTATTGTTATTAATGTGTTAGAGTTTCTAAGTTCATAATCATTTGAACTAGCCATAGACAATGGAACATATTTTGACAGTGGTCCTTCAATTTCTATGCGTTTCATAGTATTGAGGCAATGTCGTTCTCGCCTTTCATCCAATCTGGAACACCCAAGTTGTGCTAATGCTTCCCTATAAGAGTAACCCGGTAAAATGATCCTCAGCGCTCGTTTTTGCACTCGCTCTAAATCATCGGCGAGGTACAAAGGTAGGGCATGATGTCATACCACACAACAGTACTCCAGAACCGATCGTATTAAGGCAAAGTATATACTCAATAAGTCTTCCGCGGGGACACCACCTCGTCGTAATATGCGGATGATATATAAACGTTTAGAAGCCTTGGATACAACTGATTCTATGTGTGCATTCCATTTAAGATCGTTTTGAATAACCAGACCTAGGACTTTATGAGACCGCACAACCTCAAGCGCATGATCGTCGATCAACAATGGTGATAGATCAGGTGATTCCCGCAGAAAGCAAACGCGTAGTTCTTTGCACTTTTTGTGGTTAAGTTTCATAAGGTTGCACGAAGCCCAAGAATTTATAGTATCAATACAGAATTGAAACTTTGAATTGCTGCCCTTTGTGATATTTTCAGATGTTGATATGTCATCCACAAATTTCCAAATATCCGTTGCGTGTGGTTTCACATCGAGATCATTTATCATCGCCAAAAACAGAATTGGACCGAGTTTAGTTCCCTGGGGGACACCCGCATTCATTGGCAACCAGTGTGACGTTTTCCCTCCAAGTTTGACCCGATGACGGCGGTTAGTTAGGAAGTTGATAATCCAAGGCAACAGGGACGATCTAACACGTAGGTCCAACAGCTTTAATATTAATAAATTATGTCCTATACGGTCAAACGCCTTTTCGAAGTCAAGGAAACAAAGTCTAAGATGTTTTTCAGGACACTCTAAGTTGCACAACCAAGTGTGGATCATGTCTAAAAGACAATAAGTTGTGGATGTTCCTTTCAAGCATCCAAACTGCTTGGGGTCGATCTTGTCTTTAATATCGGTTATCATCCACCCGACCACGAAATCTTCAAGAACCTTAGCCAGGCAGGGTGTCAGTGAGATGGGTCTGGTGTCACCTTCACAGGTAGGAGGTTGTGATTTTGGAACTGGAATGATGTCTGAGTCTTTCCATATTGCAGGCACGATTCCAGATGAAAGTGATTCGTTGAAAATAGTTGCAACAGGTTCGGCTAATTCATGGGCAAACTCTTTCAGGATACGACAGGGGACGTTGTCTGGGC